GGGAACTTTGTTAGAACCCGCTGCGCAGGTGCTTTACCCCTAGTACACACCCAGTGGTTGGTTCTTTACCCATACCTCATGTTGTGATCTTGAACCTTTGATCCTGTTATGTGTGTTTTGCATCCTGTCTTGCATCGCATTGCATTGCATTTGCATCTTTGCATGGTTCATTGCATACCTCTTTTTGTCCAGTAACTCATGTCCAGTTGTTTCTATCTTCCAGTATACCTCTGAGTTGTTAAGCTGATTCCTCGACACCGATATCAGACTAGAGCTAACTATAGACGCAAGATGTCAGAGCAAGAAGTACACAATGTAGAAATCCAAATGGAGATCAATGAGTTGAAATCAGGCATGACTAAGCTCGCCGAGATGCTTCAAGTCCTGATGGCCAAAGGATAATCTCAAAGGACCATCATTCAGGAAGTTTTAAGTGTTGATCCTCCTCCTATTCAAATTCCGCCTTCAACTTGGCCAGAGTTTGGTTTACCTCACAACTACTCTCCATCCTTTGCATCTACTGCTATGTTTGGTCAGACTGTCAGACCAGTTTTAAGTATCATGAACTGGAACAGATGGATGTGAAGACTGCGTTCTTGTATGGTGATCTAGATGAAATAATCCTTATGAGGAAACCTGAAGGTTATATCGAAAAATGGAAGGAAAATTATGTGTGTAAACTGAATAGATCTTTATATGGACTGAAAAAGTATCATCGACAGTGGAATAGGAGATTCGATAAGTTCATGGCACGCATAAATTTCATTAGAAGTCAGTTCGACCATTGTGTTTACTTCATATTTCGACCTGGTAATTTATTTGTTATTCTGTTGCTTTATGTGGATGATATTCTAATAGCACGCAACAATGTCGAAGATCTAATGAGGGTGAAGGCTGAACTCAATAAAGAGTTCGACAAGAAGGATCTGGGAGTTACGACCAGGATTCTGGGGATTGATATCCGAAGAGATAAAAAGCAGCCAAAATTATGCTTATCCCAAGAGGCATACCTACGGAAGATTCTCAAAAAGTATGGTATGTCGAATTCAAAGCCTGTTGTGACTCCGACAAACCTTTAATTCAAACTGAGTATAGATCAGTGTCCCAGCACTGATGTCGAAAGAACTTATATGAATAGCATTCCATATGCTAATATAGTGGGTTCTTTGATGTATGCTATGGTATGTACTAGACCCGACATAGCATATGCAGTAAGTCTTGTAAGCAGATACATGGTGAATCCTAGAAAGGCTCACTGGCAAGCATTGAAGTGGATTCTAAGATACATAAATGGGTCTCTGAATAGATTCCTAATTTATGGTGGAATATTGGGTGAAGATAGTAAAGCAACAATTGAAGGATATGTCGACTCTAATTATGTGGTCGTTGCTTTATCAACCACTGAAGCGGAATATATCACCCTAACTGAAGCTGTGAAGGAAGCATTATAGCTTGAAGGTTTTGCCAAGGAGCTGAAACTTCAAGGTCGAGTTATCACTGTTAAATGTAATAGTCAAAGTTCAATACATCTGTCAAAGAATTCAGCCTATCATGAGCGAACCAAGCACATTGATTTGAGGATACATTTTGTTAGAAGGGTAATCAAGCGGGGAGAAGTCCAAGTGTTGAAGGTTTCGATAAATCATAATGCTGCTGATATGATCATCATAACGTTGCCCAGTTGCAAATTTTCCACTATATGAAGAAATCTATATTCTTGACGTTATAGAGTTATATCCAAGATGGAGATTTGTGAGATATTGGATCGAACTCTAGTATGGTCGAAGTCTTCTTGCGAGTAATGCATGTTGTAGTCAAAGTTTGTTCTTACATGCATTAATTAGTCAAGATTGCTAATTTTTTTAGCATATTAAATTGGGTCTTGCTTGTAAGCCCAATTATTTACGTTAGCTTGTACCCTAAGTTACTTTGTAATGGGTAATTGTTAAAAAGCTCATTAGGTTAGTGTGTTAGTTTTCTTATAAATAGCATGCTAGTCTCTCAACTTGTATAAGAAAAAATAGGAAGATAAAATCCTAATTCAAGAGAGAGAGGTTATTTGTTATTCTTGTATACTTGTAATATTGTTTGATAGAGAAAGGAAAGAATAAAATTTTATAACCAATCATTGTTGTTTCTTTTTGTTCTTCTTTCTTGTTTTCTTTGTTAACCATAACCCTTGTGTGTTTCTTGAATATAAAGAAATCGTTTATACTTTGTTTCAAGCCATTATATTCACAATAATATATATATATATATATATATATATATATATATATATATATATATATATATATATATATATATATATATATAGACATGTGTGTTTGTTTGTATGTGTGTGTGTGTGCGCGCGCGCGTGTGTGTGTGTATGCTTGCGCGCGCGCGTGAGTGTGTGTATGTGTGTGTGTGTGTGTGTGTGTGTGTGTGTGTGTGTGTGTGTGTGTGTGTGTGTGTGTGTGTGTGTGTGTGTGTGTGTGTGTGTGTCTTAGATGCTCAAGTAAAATAATTCAAAACTCATTCTACACTAGGATTGATTATTTTTATGATAGGTTAATTAATTTACTAGCTCCCAACCTCAAGTAAAATTTGAAATTTACATTAGGATTAATTGATTAACCCCTTAGTAAGAAGGAAAAATTAAACGATTAACCATCTCATTTTTCCTGATATTTTTGAACTTTATAACTAGGGTAATCAATTATCCCTATGGTGTTATTCAATTAACCTATATTCTTTTGAAAAATATTGTAGCATTGCATTATTTTGTCACCTCTCTTCATCTCTAAATCTTTTTATAATCAATGCAATTGATCAGTTTCATTTTTAAACAATTTCGTTTTGAAAATCAAGAGGTGTATGGATCATTATAAATAGAAAAAAATTTAAATTCAAAATCACCTGTTTTCTGATATATATTTACTATGTTTAGAATATGTTAACAAAAAAGTTTCTACTGCATATTTTTCATATCATTTAAAAAGTTACATCTTCTTATTTGAGCACCTGAGTTATCTAGCATTTGATCATACTGTTTCAATAAAGAGAAAAATAACATTGTTATGATTTTGTTGTGTTACCAAAATTCTACTACACTTATATTTTTCTATACTTAAAATTGGTGTTACAATCAGTATTCTGTAATTATACATCAAGTTTTTTATAACAATAATATTAGAGAGAAATTAGGGTTCTTTGTCTTGGTGTTTGGAAATCAAGAAAATGGTGTGCTTCTTTGTTGTTTTTAGAATATTGTAGGAGAAGTCTTGGTGTGAGACTTGTACAAAGATCTAACAATAGTGAAAATCTCTCACAAGGTGTGAGAGGACTAAATATTTCCTTGGTTGATAAGGCAAAGCAATATAAATCCTTGTGTTCATTTACTTTAATGCACTTTACTTTTTTGTTTCTTATTTATTCATTTGTTCATAATTCTGGAAAATCACATGAAACCAAAAAGTGCTTAAACTCTCTAAATATACCATTAAACTTAATTCACCCCGTCTTAGGTTATGCATTATAATACTTGCAAATGACCTGAGAACCATTGATTTGTGTCTGCTAAAGATCCAAGATCCACTGCTCTGCGCCAGCCAAAGGCCCCATGGCACAAAGTCCATTATCTAGCATACTCTTCCAGACCCAAGGTATACAATCTCTAATATTCACTTTAATATTCTATATCACCTCACTTTAATATTCACTTTTATTTTCATGTTCTTTTTGTATTGGTTTGTTCGAGGAGTTGATTTGATACCTTTTGTATCCTATGCTCCGTTATGTGTATTTTGACGTATAATAATTTTATTTAGATTTATTTAACGAATATATATATATATATATATATATATATATATATATATATATATATATATATATATATATATATATATATATATATATATATATATATATATATATATATATATATATATATATATATATATATATATATATATATATATATATATATATATCCGTTAAATAAATTTAAATAAAATTATGATACATCATTTCCAAAACCTACATTGTTATGAATAAATATACATTGGCATTTATTAGTCAACACAAGAGAAACACATATTTGTCACAATGTATACATATCACACACACATAAAAAGAATGCAAGCATATAATTATGTAGGGTTAATTCTAGAAAGTGACATGATGAACCCTCACTTAGCCATAAATCACATTAATATTAACCTATATTACCCTCGAGGATTATTACCTTGACCAGTCTTACTCTCAGTAAGTGATGCCATAAAAAGGAAAGGGTAGTGAGAAATGTATCTCAAGGGCTTTAAAGATGATGATGTTGGAAGGAACAGGAGTATGTATAACAAAACCACAACCAAAATAAATATAACTGTCATAACCAAAAACACATTGGCTAACCAACTAAGATTACTGATAACGGTGTAGAGGCCGGCCATGAAAGCCAAAGATAATGAAATGAGAGCGATTCCAAGAAGTGGCATGACAATCTTGAGAGTGAAAGTCACCAATTCAGTAAATCCAAGTGTTGCCCAAAAGAGTATGATTGTAGCACTAATGGAACTGAACAATGATATTGTGATGAAAATGATGAAAAATTGAAACATTGCATGTTTTAAGTTATGCGCTGCTCCATCTGCTTCACCTGGAACAGCTAAACATGATGCAACCGATGCTGTGACTATAAGGGTTGAAACAATTGTGAGGTTTTCTAATCTGTCCTTATATCTTTCTGAAGCTTTTTCTTCAGCATGGTTTAGGTTTTTGTCTTTACCTTGATCAGTTTTACCTGAACTTTGCTTTGCACCAGCAGATTTCAGTGCAGTCCATGTAAGATGCTATAAATATTGCAAACATCGTTAAAAATTGCTAAACCAGCTTGTAAAAATTTCTAAATAACTATTTGTTAGTGTTTGAGAATAATTCAATGAATGATTTAAATTTAACTATGCAACAAGCATACTTATAAATTTTTGAGTTTCTAAGAGGATAGAACTACTTGCCTATCTCAAAGATGATTTTTCAACCTCGTAAAGCGAATTAACAATGTCGAGAGCAGTTTCATTGTTCTTGTTAACCAAATTAAGATTCACCTTTTCGTTGTTTTGGTTAACTAAGTAGTATACAGTTGTGGGATGACATGATCTTGCAGCCAAATGCAAAGGGGTATCTCCTTCCTTATCCTTTTGATTTATCAGCTTTTGATGTTCAGGAATGTCACTTTGTAATATGTAGCATACAACCTCATGTTTTCCATGGTTTGCTGCAATGTGAAGAATATTACGCTTATGAGAAGTGTCAACCATCTCTAATGGATCTGGACAGTATTCTAACAACTTCCTCACTACTTCCACATGGCCTCCATAAGATGCTAGATGGATCGGGAAATAACCATATTTGTCCCTTTTAATGGTGCAGCATCTACATATTCCAAGTAATAAATCAACACCTTCAAGGTAACCTATGGATGCAGAATAATGTAAAGGAAGCCTTTTATGTTCGTCCAATGAATGGATCCAACTTTGCTTGTTTTTTATTATGATCCTCAACATTTCTGATACATAAACAAAAATATTAGCTAATACTCTTTAACAATTGCGAATTGCCTAATAATATTATCACCTATATATGTAAATATGTAACTACATACCTTGATTATGCATCATTATTGCTGCTATCAAAGGTGATAATCCCTTCGGCCTATCATCATTTTTTTGACATTTTTGTAATATTGCTTCAACAACATCCTTGTTTCCATTTTCAACTGCAAGAAAAAGTACTGTTTTCTTCTCATGATTTACAATATTTATCGCATAGTCATAACAACTATTTGACAATGACTTCACAGACAAATCTTCAATTTTGTATTTTTCGCAAACTTTAAAAATCGTATCACCGACAATATTTCTCTTGTGACATAACATTGCCTCATGAAACATAGTGTTGCCTTGATCATTCTCCAACTTCACAAAATTTAATAGATCCTTCATATTGGACTTGGCACCATAATCTTTATAGTCTTCTGAGTCACCATCCCATTTATGGTATTCAAACCATGCTCTTTTTATTTCATGTCGTTGAAAGTTAATATAACCGTCTAAAAGCTTTTCAATGGTTGAAATGCGTCCATTTCTTGCAGCAACATGTAATACACTATCCTTGTTTTCGTTCAAGTTGAACAAAAGTTTTGGAGCACGTTCAATTAAAAGTGCAACAATGTCATCATTACCATTCCAAGCTGCAATATGCATCACACTGTTTTTCATAGGGGTCTCAATTTCAATTAGATTAGAAGATTCATTTAACAAATTCTTTGGACCTCCATATACCAAGTGATATGCTTCACTAATCAAATTAATTTGATCATGGAATTCGCAACATGTTTTAATGACATCAGTGACTTCAGAAGGTTCGGTTTCTAGTTCAGGTTCCTTCTCTTTACTAATCATCTTCTCTGCCGTCGAGGTTTCATCTTGCAATGCTTGAGTCAAAAATAATTTTTTTTCTGGACCCGGCATTTTCAAATCTCAATCTGTTAATAAAAAAACTCGGAATTAAATATCTTCAACCCGAAATTCAAAATGTTAACAAATATTTTGATACAAATTCAAATTTATATATTGTATGATTTGTGTGATAGAACTCATCAACTTCAATATTGCTATTTCTACCCAAAATAAAACCTTAAACGCTTTTATTTAGTAAAAGATATTGCTACCAACACATTATGAAAGATATGTACGTTTTAACATACTCTTTTTAAAATTTATATTGATTCTTACAAATATATATTATGTTATTTTTTATAATTTTTTTTGTTTTAACTATTCACTATTAAATTGATTTTAATATTAATTAATTTTTATAAGAGATTAATTGAAATATATAGAACTATTTTACACAGTCATTCAATTAGAATGAACTATTTTAACACATGAAAAAAGAGAAATATAGAAGAAGTAGTTATTAAAATAATTTAATAATAATTTATATTTTTTCATTTTTAATTACATAATTATATGTCAAAATAATTCATTCTAACTAAATAATAGTATAAAATAGTTTTACACTGACAACTTACAATGTATTCTAATTAATCTCTTTTTATAATATATAGAATATTTAATTTTTACTAATCTTATAAATTTAGTTTACAAAGATTAAATCACATGAATAAGAACCACAAGCCAAATAACATATATTTATGAAAATAAATATGTGAAAGATGATATCTAAGATTCGTTAGTCCATCTGAATTCCAATAATATGCATTGATAGAAATGTAAAACAATATGCAACAGAAATGTAAAACAATATGTAAAAGAATAAATATTGATCAAATATATAGAGCAAAAATAGAAAATGCATTAAAAATATAAATAATCTTACACTAACATTCTAAAAGTGAAGTTAATTCCTCTAACCTAATTATTGCACTACAGTATAAAACTATTTAAACCTATCCATTTAACAATTTTAAATTTAATGACAAACCAAATATTGTCTGAACTGCTTCAAGCTCGACCACCCAGCAAACTAATCAGCTTTCCCCTTGCGTATTGGTTTCTACTGATGACTCTGAAAATTTTAAATATCTATCTATCTATATATAGTATTGTAATTCTTTCTTTGATGTTCTTTACTTGTGTGTTGCCATTTATTTACTCTTTTGTTCTATTTAAGCTTTTCCTTTTGCAATTAAAGAACAATTCTTTTCTCTGCTAACAATAAAAGATATATATATATATATATATATATATATATATATATATATATATATATATATATATATATATATATATATATATATATATATATATATATATATATATATATATATATATATATATATATATATATATATATATATATATATATATATATATATATATATATATATATATATATATATTATCCTCCCTTTCTTCAATAAGAAGGATGAAACAAGTTTGCTAGAAGATTCAGATCCCATAGTCCTCCTTTCATTTGCTAGATTTAAGGAAAATATTTTATTATTACTATTGAAACATGTTTATTTAAGGATTAAATTCAGTATCACAAAATTAAAAAAAGTGAATAATTTTAATTAGTAGAATGTAAGTTATCGGTGATATTGTGATGTTTTTCAAAGGAGTTTTGAAAGGGCCGATTGTTTTCGATTAAATAATAATAATAATAATAATAATAATAATAATAATAATAATAATAATAATAATAATAATAATAATAATAATAATAATATATAGGCTAGGATCAAACTCATTTGAAATGGCTGTCCGGAAAAGACATTTTATGGAGTTGCGATGATTATGACGACGTCACAACAAGACTTCGAACAATATCAAATCTTAAAAACTGTCACCCGTCTGAAAAAATCGAAAGTGGCCTTTTTGGAGGCAATTTCGTTGCCAAGATATTTCAAAAGGGAATTCGATAGGGAAGTCAGCTGAAAATTTTCTAAAACATAGGAAAATGTCAAGTTATTCTTTTACTAAAAGGATTTCCACAAGAACAATAGGAGTGAAAGTCGAAGGGTCTGGCTGAAGACTTAGAAAAGTTCTAAGAATTTCAATCAGGTATGAAGTTCGACAGGTCGTTGGGATCGACTTAGAGCGGATTCAAAATTCAAACTGAAGTAACTTATTTTTGGTCTTATCCAAATTAGCAAGGACACGTGAAAATCGAATCAAACGTCAATTAAGAAGCAAGAATGACTGTAAGAGAGAAAATTTGTGAGTGTAAATTATTAATTAACTCAACTCAAAATACAAGAGCCGCCACCGCACATTTATTTTATCCAAAAGAAAAGGAAAAAATAGTGAACAAAACCTAAACAAGTTCTAAACAAGAACAAACAGAAATTGAGTAAGGGAGCTGGTTACGCTAAGGGAAAGTGTTAGCGTCCAAAATGTCTATACTACTCTATAGGAAACCTTTGGAATATCTACGCTTTTTGGTTTGAAAAGGTTTGTTCGAAATGAGATTGGAGAGATGAGAAGAGAATATTTTTTAATAATTTTGTGTTTGAAGAGACTTATCGCCTCATGCCAAGGTACCCACAAAGTGCGACATAGGATCAAAACCTCGTAGTTTGTGGTACAAATAACGAAAATTGTTTGTTTTGATTGATTTTTAAATGTAAAGACAAGTCGTCATTTTAAGGAGAAAACTTCAACTAGGTGCCCATGAGTATAACATAACATTTGCAACGCATAAAGATGGAAGATGTTTCTTGAAATAAAATCAACAAGTCTATCACTCAACATCTAAGTGAAAATTTTCAAAATCTTAAATACTATGGAGAATAGGAGAATTGCATCTCAACTATGAAAATTACTCATGTCTAAACTTTATGAAAAGTTTTTAAAAGAAAAAATGCACAAAGGCACAAAAAATTTGGACGAGTTTTTGTATTTTTTATGTACTATGAAAAGATTACTCATTGATTGACATTTATTAAAGAAAATTTTATGTACTATGAAAAAATTACTCATTGATTGACATTTATTAAAAAAAACAAAATTTGAAAATTACTTGACCAAATTCAAGGTTTATTATGAAAGAGGTTTAACTTTGAAAACAAGAAGGTTTTGAAAAAGGAAGAAGATTTTAAAAATTAAATGAGGGGTGAAAAGAAGTGACTACCCTAGAAAGAAAAATAAAAGGTAGAGATAAGAAAGACTAACAGAAAGATAGAAAACTCCATAGCAAACTAAATAAGAATTCCTTCCACCTTGAGAAAAAGTCAAAAAGCAAAAGCCAAATAATGGGCAAGATCTCAAATCCATAATAATCCAATCATAGGGAAGGAGACCTAGTTCTAAGTTCAAGGGTCCAAGAATAATCCAAGAAGTCCAAGGTATAAGAATAATCCAAGAAGTTTAAGGTATACAAATAATACAAGAAATCCAAGGTCTAGGTCCATCCTCAAGCATAACTATAAGAATTAAGAGAACCAACCTTTTTAAAGGTTTAATCTTTTATTAGTGTTTTTTGAACAAAATATGGTCCAAATGGATAAAAAAAAAAAGAGCGGAAGAATAAACAATAATATGATATGATATGATAAAAATAAAAACATAAAAATAAAGAGATAGGGAACGAGAAGGAAACATAAACAAAATTACAATAATATGGTTAGTGTAATATACATAATGGTATTATCAACCTTCAAGAAGCAAGAATTGTCAAATTATGGAGAATACTCGACTAATCGTCCATAAGAATGAAAACATGGTCTCATAAATTACCATGGGGAGGACTCCAACTCGGATGAAATCAACGAGTATGCCAACTAACCCCCACAGGTAACAAAAGATCCAATTATTTCAAACTACACTACAGAGATTAGAAGAATAACATCTCGCTTACAAATTCGACTTAGTTCCAATTTAGGGACAATTTAGCTCTATGTTAAGCAATCATGATCAGACTTATGTAGAAGTCATGAATATCTAAGGCCGGTCAATAATAATGTTTGTGTTAATGTATGCTAGAGAGACGATATGTAGAACATCTTCCGAAAGAAATACCGCACAAAAAGGAAATAGGTAACAATCTCATCTTGATCAAGAACTTGAAACAAGTCCCAATGATATTGAAGATTTTCATTGATCAAAAGAAAAAAAAAGAAGGAATGAGAGAAACCAAATTGAATTACAACATTTCGATCATTCCATCTTTAAGTTCCATCACTCTTCTTGGTGGATTAAATGCATTAACCCTCATCAACACCCAAAGCCCATGAAATTTAAAGAGAAATTTGATCAACAAACATCAAAAATCAGGGAAAAATAAAAGGAAATGGAAGAAGGAAGAAAAGGAACCAAAACCGTCCTTAAACAACCATAAAAATACAATCTTGGCACTAGTTAATCGACTAACCACCTGGTGTTAATCGATTAACACAGTGAAAACAACAATTCCAGAATACAGAAATAGGTGTTAATCAATTAACACCAGTGTGTTAACCGATTAACACTGTTGAAACAGTAGAAAATTAATTTCAAAAATTGCAAATCTTTGAAATATCATTTCTTCAAAAACCTCATGATCAAGGATAAAATTGTACACAGAAATTCAAGTAACACAACAACAAATAACACCAATAAAACACAATTTGCAAGATCCAAAGATCAAGCAACAAGAATCAGCCATAGATCACATTGAGGAAGATGGATCAAGAACAACAATGATGGAACACGGGTTTACCACATCAAAATCTGAAAATGCTTTAAATCAACTTCAAGAACCACACTCCAACTTGATCTACAGAACTAGATGATGAAGAAGTGATTGGAAGAAAGAGTTTTAGTGAATTTGGTGGTTGAAGTAAATTAAGAGAATGAGAAGGAATTTTGACAAGGTAAATTTGGCTCTCAAAAGCTTGAAGAATGAATGAAATAAGGCCCCTATTTATAGAATTTAGGCTTGGAATTTTGGTGGTTTGGAATTTGGTTTGCCATTTGATATAAGCTTGAAATTTGAATTTGGAGGAAAAATCAAGATCAAGTGGTGATTAATGTGGGTGTATGATGAGAATTAATTATGATGAGGTAGGTGAATTAAAATGAGGTGATATAGAATATTCTAATAATGAAATAAGTGAATTTTGGTGTCTAAATGTTGCAGAATTTGAATTTGCCTTATTTTCACAAAAAATGAACTGGTTAATTGATTAACCATATAGTGTTAATCGATTAACACAACAAAAATTGTGAAGACTTGCCTTTTTGTTGCACTACTGTGGCTCTGGCTCGATTCTTTTTAATTGTCAAACAAGGCATGGAAATACACATATGGACCTTAGAGTCTCTTGAGTAATAAATAATCAAATATTGGGAAAGTCTTGATCAAATGATTTAGAATTGTTTGCAGATTAACTTTGACCTTTTTCAGATGAATTTTAATCGAGCTAAAGGACTAGTATTTTATGTTCTTGATTTCAAACCTCCTCCTGAAAAATGAGATAGTAAAGTAAAAAACAAGCATGTTTTGGATATTTTGATTAGGGTTAGTATAAACATTCAAATAAAACAAATAAGGAAAAAACACAGGTGCTTGGTGATCTTGCTTATGATGCAGGATGCAAATGATATGTGAGATCTTAGGGGTGAAAATTAGGGTATTACAGCTGCCCCTATTTATGTTTTATCTATTCGGAGATATAAAGATTGACATCTTTTTCTCGACGAGTTAGAAAAGACTTATATATAACAAGTAAACCTAATTTTTGGCCCTAAGAGACCATACAACGATATGATTATACAGATGGTATGTAGACACAAGACCTCCATGGGGAGAAAATGCCACAGGAGACAAACAAAAGTTGGGGAGCAAAAGAAAAGAGAACAGACTCCGCAAAGGAAAACTAGAGAGTAAGATTCCACTGAGGAAAAATTACCAACCATAAATAAAAGAGGATATATCATCCCAACAGGGGAAGCAAAAATATATGTTGGGGAAAAGATCATTTACTACCAGGCGCCCGATAATAACATGATCGAAAGGAAAGATTACCAACTACCAATCAAGTGGCAGCTATGACAAGGTAATCAACCAAAATGGTACGAGAAATATTACCCACTACCAACCAAAGGGCAGTAAGAAAAAGGTAATAGACTTAAAAATAGGAGATTACCAACTATCAACTGAGTAATAGTTACGACAAGGCAACCAACTCAAAAGGAAAGATTATCAACTATTAACCAAGTGATAGCTACGACAAGGTAATCAACCAAAAGGATACGAGAAATATTACATACTACCAACCAATAGGTAGTGAGACAAAGGTAATAAACTAAAAAGGGAGAGATTACCAACTATCAACTAAGTGATAGCTACGACAAGGTAACCAACTTAAATGAATAGTTCCACCAAAACGAGACTCCACAGGGGAAAAAATTAGTATTGTAAACTACCAGTTTACTGGGTAAAGGATAAGTGTTACTCAACCAAAAAGGGAGAAATATTACCTGATACTAGTTATCGGATAGAAGCAAAGGCAATAAGCTCAAAGGTAGTGTCACAGTGAGAATTGGATATCAAATTATTAATTAATTTGAATCTTAATTCATTAGTTCACCACCGGTCTTTTATTTGTCCGAAGGAAGGGAAAAATATCGAATTACCCACAATGCGGTGCAAATGCAAAAGCTAGAGAGTTTAGGGTTGGAGGTTGGTTAAACTTAGGGAAGGTGCTAGCATCCTAAGTTTCTGTAGTACTCTACAGAAACCTCTTGTTTTATGTGTTTATTTCTAAGGGTTATCTTCTTAAGGGTAATGCTAAGGGTTTATTTCTAAGTATACTCGCCAAGACGTCGCATCATGTGCCTACATATCCTTACGGGAATGAAATCAGAGTATTTGTAGTTCCCCTAAAGGGTTTGAGGAACTTATGGACTGTTGGTCAAATTTCCTAAGGGATTAGGTTGTTGATTGATTGGTTCTAGGAGAAAAGACGAATCTTCATCTTAAGGGAGAACACTCACTTAACCACCACAACTTGTAGGAGATGGTCTTTGCATCATCTTGAGAGAAGGGCTCAAACACTCAAATTTACCTACGAGTATGCCACTATCTCCCTCAAGCGAAAAGATCTTATATCTCGTGATTGCGTTATGGGGCAGGAGAATTACATCTCGACGGTCAAGATGACTCACGTATAATTCTCTAATAGTTTGAATAATATTGATTGAGTTGTTTAAATGGTTTATCTATGTTGTAAAGATAAAAGAAAAAGATCCTCCTTATAGGGTAGAATCTAAGTTAAATCGATCAACTTGAAAAGTAACAAGGATCAAGTGGGAAATTATGATGCAAGATGAGATGCATACGCACAAGTATTAAGTCATGCGCAAATTCTTCCTTTGGACATTATGCGATGCGATAAAATAAATAACGGTAAAATAAACAACGATAATTAAATCCATACAAACAAATAAAAGTGTTAAAGGCAAATCAAGCGAGCGTGTACGCGTGTTGATTGACTTTTATGAGTTGATTAATTTTGAGAAGAGAGTTGAATTAGATTTTATTAGTTTTAAACTATAAATTAATTAAATTTCTAAATAGAAAAGATTTTAAATAAATAGATAATAATTTATTAAAATAAAAAGAGAGTTTGGTTTAAAAGAAGTTTTAATATTATGGAGATTTTTGATAAAATAAAGATTAATATTTAGCTTTTTGAAAAAGGATGGGTTCTTAGTGAAAAAAGGTTTGGTTATTATTAGTGAATAAATGTAAATTATTTAAGATATTATGAAAATGGTTTTATTAAAAAAACGAAAAATTTTAGTTATTAATAGAAGAATAAGTTATTTAGAAGAAAGATTTTTGGTGACTAACTATTATTAAATAAAAGGTAAATAAATTGGAAATAGGTTTTTTTTTAGTATTAGGAACATGAATAAATTATATTTTATTTATAAAAAGGGTGAATGAATGGATATAAAATAAATTAATGAAGAGTTAATTAATAAAAAGGAGGTTGCTTAGATAAATAAATAAATTAGAAAAAGTTGGGTTAAGTAAACCTGGGTTTAATAGTTATAAAGACTGGTTAAAAAGATTTTGAAAAGGTGGTTAATTAAAAAAGTTAATTATTATATTAATTTGAAAGAAAAAAAGATTAAAGGTTTATTAGTTAAAAAAAATTAAGTTATAATTAAATGAACTAAATCATCTTAGACCTCTTATCTATCTTTAAAAGATAAGTAGTTCACATGATATCGTTGGATATCACGTTTTTTAATCATCAAAACCAAACAGTTGATTGCAGCTTGATTCATCTTGACAATACATGCAAGCACATGGGTATACATTGTTGTCTTGGATTATAGGTGATATTTCTATTATTTTGCATTTTGTAATATGTTCTATTTTAAAATCTCGATTTGACATTGCTTTTTAGTTATGTCTATTAACGAAAAGGATAACGAAGAAAAGAGTAATTTTCATGCTTAAACAATGGTCATAAGATAGGTTTGTAACCTACTCATATCCTTCTTGGAGCAGCATGAAAAATCTATTCTCTATTTAATCCTGTATATGTTTGAGATTCACTAGCTTGATTCTTGGGGGAGAAGTTTTCTTAATATCTTATTGGTGGATTTTGATTCTTTTGATGGTGGTTTTTCTGCTGAGACCTAACATGTTTTTCTCACAATTGTGAGATTATTGTTGGTTTGGTCTTCTCTTTTAGTGGTCGATTGGCAAGTTGCTTTTTTTTCTTCTGGTCATGACGTTTTTTCCATATGTGATTTTATTTTCATGTTCTTTTTGTATTGGTTTGTTCGAGGAGTTGATTTGATACCTTTTGTATCCTATGCTCCGTTATGTGTATTTTGACGTATAATAATTTTATTTAGATTTATTTAACGAATATATATATATATATATATATATATATATATATATATATATATATATATATATATATATATATATATATATATATATATATATATATATATATATATATATATATATATATCCGTTAAATAAATTTAAATAAAATTATGATACATCATTTCCAAAACCTACATTGTTATGAATAAATATACATTGGCATTTATTAGTCAACACAAGAGAAATACACATATTTGTCACAATGTATACATATCACACACACATAAAAAGAAAACATGCATATAATTATGTAGGGCGAATTCTAGAAAGTGACATGATGAACCCTCACTTAGCCATAAATCACATGAAATTAACCTATATTACCCTCGAGGATTATTACCTTGACCAGTCTTACTCTCAGTAAGTGATGCCATAAAAAGGAAAGGGTAGTGAGAAATGTATCTCAAGGGCTTTAAAGATGATGATGTTGGAAGGAAAAGCAGTATGTATAACAAAACCACAACCATAATAAATATAACTGTCATAACCAAAAACACATTGGCTAACCAACTAAGATTACTGATAACGGTGTAGAGGCCGGCCATGAAAGCCAAAGATAATGAAATGAGAGCGATCCCAAGAAGTGGCATGACAATCTTGAGAGTGAAAGTCACCAATTCAGTAAATCCAAGTGTTGCCCAAAATAGTAAGATTGTAGCACTAATGGAACTGAACAATGATATTGTGATGAAAATGATGAAAAATTGAAACATTGCATGTTTTAAGTTTTGCGCTGCTCCATCTGCTTCACCTGGAACAGCTAAACATGTTGCAACTGATGCTGTGACTATAAGGGTTGAAACAATTGTGAGGTTTTCTAATCTGTCCTTATATCTTTCTGAAGCTTTTTCTTTTTCTTTACTCTGTTTCTCACTTTGTTGGGATTCTTCATCATGGTTTAGGTTTTTGTCTTTACCTTGATCAATTTTACCTGAACTTTGCTTTGCACCAGCAGATTTCAGTGCAGTCCATGTAAGATGCTATAAATATTGTAAAAATTGTTAAAAACTGTTAAACCAGCTTGTAAGAATCTCTAAATAACTATTTGTTAGTGTTTGAGAATAATTCAATGAATGATTTAAAAGCATACTTATAAATTTATGAGCTTCTAAGAGGATAGAACTACTTGCCTGTCTCAAAGATAATTTTTCAACCTCGTAAAGTGAATTAACAATGTCGAGAGCAGTTTCATCGTTCTTGTTAACCAAATTAAGATTCACCTTTTCGTTGTTTTGGTTAACTAAGTAGTATACAGTTGTGGGATGACATGATCTTGGAGCCAAATGCAAAGGGGTATCTCCTTCCTTATCCTTTTGATTTATCAGCTTTTGATGTTCAGGAATGTCACTTTGTAATATGTAGCATACAACCTCATGTTTTCCATGGTTTGCTGCAATGTGAAGAATATTACGTTTATGAGAAGTGTCAAGCATCTCTGTTGGATCTGGACAGTACTCTAACAACTTCTTCACTACTTCCACATGGCCTCCATAAGATGCTAGATGGATCGGGAAATAATCATATTTGTCTCTTTTAATGGTGCAACATTTACATAATCCAAGTAATAAATCAACACCTTTAAGGTAACCTATGGATGCAGCATAATGTAAAGGAAGCCTTTTATGTTCGTCCAATGAATGGAACCAACTTTGCTTGTTTTTTATTATGATCCTCAACATTTCTGATACGTAAACAAAAATATTAGCTAATACTCTTTAACAATTGCGAATTGCCTAATAATATTATGACCTATATATGTAAATATGTAACTACATACCTTGATTATGCATCATTATTGCTGCTATCAATGGTGATAATCCCTTCGGCCTATCATCATTTTTTTGACATTTTTGTAATATTACTTCAACAACATCCTTGTTTCCATTTTCAACTGCAAGAAAAAGTACTGTTTTCTTCTCATGATTAATAATATTTATCGCATAGTCATAACAACTATTTGACAATGACTTCACAGACAAATCTTCAATTTTGTATTTTTCGCAAACTTTAAAAATCGTATCACCGACAATATTTCTCTTGTGACATAACATTGCCTCATGAAACATAATGTTGCCTTGATCATTCTCCAACTTCACAAAATTTAATAGATCCTTCATATTGGACTTGGCACCATAATCTTTATAGTCTTCTGAGTCACCATCCCATTTATGGTATTCAAACCATGCTCTTTTTATTTCATGCCTTTGAAAGTTAATATAACCGTCTAAAAGATTTTCAATGGTTGAAATGCGTCCATTTCTTGCAGCAACATGTAATACACTATCCTTGTTTTCGTTCAAGTTGAACAAAAGTTTTGGAGCACGTTCAATTAAAAGTGCAACAATGTCATCATTACCATTCCATGCTGCAATATGCATCACACTGTTTTTCATAGGGGTCTCAATTTCAATTAGATTAGAAGATTCATCTAACAAATTCTTTGGACCTCCATATACCAAGTGATATGCTTCACTAATCAAATTAATTTGATCATTGAATTCGCAACATGTTTTAATGACATTAGTGACTTCAGAGGGTTGAGTTTCTAGTTCAATATCCTTCTCTTTACTAATCATCAGCTCTAACCAGGCTTCATCTTGCAATACTTGAATATAAGGCATTTTCAAATCTCAATCTATTAATAAAAAAACTCGAAATTAAATATCTTCGACCCGAAATTCAAAATGTTAACGAATATTTTGATACAAACTCAAATTTATCTATTGTATGATTTGTGTGATACAACTCATCAACTTCAATATTGCTATTTCTACCCAAAATTAAAAATAAAATAAAAAAAACACTTTTGTTTAGTAAAATATATTGCTACCAACACATTATGAAAGATATGCACGTTTTAACGTACTCTTTTTAAAATTAATATTGATTCTTACAAATATATAGTATGTTATTTTTTATAATGTTTCTATAAAATTGATTTTAATTTTAAGTAATTTTAATAAGAGATTAATTGGAATACACTGTCAGTCGGTGTAAAACTATTTTACACTGTTATTCAATTAGAATGAATTATTTTAATACATGAAAAAAGAGAAATCTAAAAGAAGTAGTTATTAAAATAATTTAATAATAATTTTTATTTTTTTCAATTATAATTATATAATTATGTGTGAAAATAATTCATTCTAATTGAATATAGTGTAAAGTAATTTTACACCGATAACTTACAATGTATTTTAATTAATCTCTTTTTATAATATATAGAATATTTAATTTTTACTAATGTTATAAATTTAGTTTACAAAGATTAAATCACATGAATAAGAACCACAAGCCAAATAACATATATTTATAAAAATAAATATGTAAAAGATGATATCTAGGATTCGTTAGTCCATCTGAATTCCAATTATATGCATTGATAGATATAAAATATGCAACAGAAATGTAAAACAGTAAATATTGATCAAATGTATAGAGCAAAAATAGAAAATGCATTAAAAATATAAAATAATCTTACACTAACATTCTAAAAGTGAAGTTAATTCCTCTAAATTGTTAAGACATTTTAAAATTAATTATTGCACTACAGTATAAAACTATTTAAACCTATCCATTTAACTTTTATATATGCAAAACTATAGTTATGATGCATTTAAATTTAATGACATACCAAATATTGTCTGAACTGCTTCAAGCTCGACCACCCAGCAAATTAATCAGCCTTCTCCTTGCGTATTGGTTTCTACTGATGACTCTGAAAATTTTAAATATCTATCTATCTATATATAGTATTTGTAATTGATTCTTTGATGTTCTTTACTTGTGTATTGCCACTTATTTACTCTCTTTTGTTCTATTTAAGCTTTTCCTGTGCAATTAAAGAACAATTCTTTTCTCTGCTAACAATAAGAAGGATGAAACAAGTTTGCTAGAAGATTCAGATCCCATAGTCCTCCTTTCATTTGCTAGATTTAAGGAAAACATTTTATTATTATCATTGAAACATGTTTATTTAAGGATTAAATTCAGTATCACAAAATTAAAAAAAGTGAATAATTTTAATTAGTAGAATGTAATTTATCGGTGATGTTGTGATGTTTTTCAAAAAGTTCGCCTTGGAATTTTGAAATGGTCAATTGTTTCCGATTAAAAAATAAATAATAATAATAATAATAATAATAATAATAATAATAATAATAATAATAATATATAGGTTAGGATCAAACTCATTTGAAATGGCCATTCAGAAAAGATATTATATGGAGTAGCTATGATTATGACGACGTCACAACAAGACGTAGAACAATATCAAATCTTCAAAAATGTCACCCATCTCTTTAAAAAAAATCGAAAGTGGCCTTTTTGGAGGCAATTTTGTTGCCAAGATATTTCAAAAGGGAATTTGATAGGGAAGTCAGTTGGAAATTCTCTAAAACATAGGGAAAGATCAAGTTATTTTTCTACTAAAAGGATTTCCACAAGAACAATAGGAGCGAAAGTCGAAGGGTCTGGCTGGGGACTTAGAAAAGTTTCAAGAATTTCAATAAGGTATGAAGTTCGACAGGTCGTTGGAATCGACTTAGAGCGGATTCAAAATTCAAACTGAAGTAACTTATTTTTGGTCTTATCCAAATTAGCAAGGACACATAAAAATCGAATCAAACGTCAATTAAGATGCAGGAATGACTGTAAGAGAGAAAATTTGTGAGTGTAAATTATTAATTAACTTAACTCAAAATACAAGAGCCGCCGCCGCACATTTATTTTATCCAAAAGAAAAGGAAAAATAGTGAACAAAACAAAAACAAGTTCTAAACAAGAACAAACAAAAATTGAGTAAGGGATCTGGTTACGCTAAGGGAAAGTGTTAGCATCCAAAATGTCTATAGTATTCTATAGGAACCCTTTGGAATATCTATGCTTTTTGGTTTGAAAAGGTTTGTTTTAAATGAGATCGAAGAGATGAGAAGAGAATATTCTTTAATATTTTTGTGTTTGGAGAGACTTATCGTCTCATGCCTAGGTACCCACAAAGTGCGATATAGGATCAAAACCTCGTAGTTTGTGGTACAAATAACAAAAATTGTTTGTTTTGATTGATTTTTAAATGTAAAAGACAAGTCGTCATTTTAAGGAGAAAACTTCGACTAGTCGCCCATGAGTATAAGACAACATTTGCATCACATAAAGATGGAAGATGTTTCTTAAAATAAAATCAACAAGTCTATCACTCAACCTTTAAGAGGAAAATTTTAAAATCTTAAATACTATGAAGAATAGGAGAATTGCATCTCAACTATGAAAATTACTCATGTCTAAACTTTATGAAAAGTTTTAAAATAAAATAAAAAGTGCACAAAGGCACAGAAAGTTTGGACGGGTTTTTATATTTTTTTATGTCTTTTTAAAAATATCAAAGTATGACTAACATTGATTGACATTTATTAAAGAAAACAAAGTCTGAAAATTACTTGACCAAAGTCAAGGTTTATTATGAAAGAGGTTTAACTTTGAAAACAAGAAAGTTTTGAAAAAGGAAGAAGATTTTGAAAATTAAATAAGGGGTGGAGAAGAAGTGACTACCCTAGAAAGAAAAATAAAAGTTAGAGATAAGAAGGATCTAACCAAAAGATAGCAAATTTCATAGAAAACCAAATAATAATTTCTTCCACCTTGAGAAAAAGTCAAAAAGCAAAAGTCAAATAAAGGCCAATATCTCAAATCCATAATAATCCAATCATAGGGAAGGAGACCTAATTCTAAGTTCAAGGGTACAAGAATAATTCAAGAAGTCTAAGGTATAAGAATAATCCAAGAAGTTCAAGGTATAAGAATAATCCAAGAAATCCAAGGTCTAGGTCCACCCTCAAGCATAACTATAAGAATTAAGAAAATCAAGCTTTTTAGAGGTTTAGTCCTTTATTAGTGTTTTTTGAACAAAATATGGTCCAAATGGACAAAAGAAAAAGAGCGGAAGAATAAATAATAATATGATATGATATGATAAAAATAAAAACATAAAATTAAAGAGATAAGGAACGAGAAGGAAACATAAACAAAATTAGTACAATGATATGGTTAGTATAATATACATAATAGTTTTATCAACGTTCAAGAAGCAATAATTGTCAAATTATGGAGAATACTCAACTAATCGACCATAAGAATGAAAACATGGTCTCATAAATTACCATGGATAGGACTCTAACTCGGATGAAATCAACGAGTATGCCAACTAACCCCTACAGGTAACAACAGATCCAATTATTTCAAACTACACTATGGAGATTAGAAGAATAACATCTCGCTTACAAATTAGACTTAGTTTCGATTTAGGGACAATTTAGCACTATGTTAAGCAATCATGATCAGACTTATGTAGAAGCCACGACTATCTAAGGCCGGTCAATAATAATGTTTGTGCTAATGTATGCTAGAGAGACGATATGTAGAACATCTTTCGCAAGAAATACCGCACAAAAAGGAAATAGGTGAAAATCTCATCTTGATCAAGAACTTGAAACAAGTCCCAATGATATTCAAGACTTACATTGATCAAAAGAAAAAAGAAGAAGGGAGGATAGAAACCAAATTGAATTAAAACATTTGGATCATTCCATCTTTAATTTCCTTCACTCTTCTTTGTGGATTGAAGGCATTAACCATCATCAACACCCAAAGTCCATGAAATTTAAAGAGAAATTTGATCAACAGAGATCAAAATTCAGGGCAAAATAAAAGAAAATGGAAGAAGGAAGAAAAAGAACCAAAACAGTCCCTAAACAACCAAAAAAACACAATTCTGGCACTAGTTAATTGACTAACCACCTGGTGTTAATCGATTAACACAGTGTAAACAACAATTCCAGAACACAGAAACAGGTGTTAATTGATTAACACCAGTGTGTTAACCGATTAACACTGTTGAAATAGCAGAAAATTAATTTGAAAAATTGCAAATCTTTGAAATATCATTTCTTCAAACACCTCATGATCAAGGATAAAATTGTGCACGAAAATTCAAGTAACACAACAGAAAATAACACCAATAAAATACAATTTGCAAGATCCAAAGATCAAGCAACAAGAATCAACCATAGATCACATTGAAGAAGATGGATCAAGAACAACAATAGTGGTTATTGATAGAGTGACAACAATAGTGGATCAAGAATCAACCATAGATCACATTGAGGAAAAAGTATTCCCGAATGAGTGACAAGTTGTTATTGATAGAGTACAACAAGTGATTCATAGATTGGTTTAATAAAAATGTATGTAATCATCGTAGTGCATTCAAGATACTTAAATGGTTTTCGTACGAGCAAAAATTTTGTGGCATTACTTAGACTGCATACGGCATTGGTCATTATACCTTTTATACAAAATCAAAAGATGATTGTAGTACAATGCAAAATAATGGGGTTAAGGTTGAAGCCGAATCGATGTATTTCTCTATTTCGAAAGATAAGAATCCTGTATTGATAACTACCGCGTTTTATGGTGTCATTGATGAGATTTGGGAGATTGATTATGTTATTTTCAAAGTAGCTTTATTTAAATGCAAGTGGGTTCCCAATAATAGTAATGGTGTACACATTGATGACTTATGATTCACCAGAGTCGACCTTGACAAGGCATCTTTTATGACTGAACC